CCCGTAGTGGACCTACCTTGACACAGCAGCGGGGGCTGTATCTGACAGGGTGTGCGTGTGTAAGTACCTACACTGTGTCTGAGTATAGTGAGCAACGTCACCCCTGGCTGGTGACTAACCTAACTACCTCCTCACTGGTAATAGCATTTCTGGGATGCAAATTTGCATATCGTGCATATGTCTGGCCTCAGACTCGCGATATAGCAGAGGCAAAATATCGCTGACTATCGCGAGAAGACGAGGCCTGGGGGCTGACGGTATATCGTCTCTCAAGCGTGGCGATATTATTTAATGATTTTAGGAGCTATGAATGTAGGTATCCTGGTGTGAGTGGTGACACACACACACACACACACACACACACACACACACACACACACACACACACACACACACACAAACACACACACACACACACACACATACACACACAACAAGACTTATTTAGGACTCTGTGGATTCTAATTACATTCATAGCTTATAATTTGGGAATTAAAAAACGGTAGAGCTGGGCCCAGGAGCTATGGCCAATTCTCATGAACAGTATTAGGCAAAAATTTGCATAAACTCTACAATAACAAATCGGGAATAAATTGTGATATATTTAACAGAGAGAGAGAGAGAGAGAGAGAGAGAGAGAGAGAGAGAGAGAGAGAGAGGAAGGTCAGAGAGAGAGAGAGAGAGAGAGAGAGAGAGAGAGGAAGGTCAGAGAGAGAGAGAGAGAGAGAGAGAGAGAGAGAGAGGAAGGTCAGAGAGAGAGAGAGAGAGAGAGAGAGAGAGAGAGGAAGGTCAGAGAGAGAGAGAGAGAGAGAGAGAGAGAGAGAGAGAGAGAGAGAGAGAGAGAGAGAGAGAGAGAGAGAGAGAGAGGAAGGTCAGAGAGAGAGAGAGAGAGAACTCAAGGATTATTTTGAACGTCTTAGGGACTAAGAGAGTACAGTTGCACACTGATCTTTCTCTAACTTGAATATTGCGTGGTTGAGTTGATTACGTCCTTCAGAGACGAGGAAAAGATTACGGGGTCGGGGGATTGCAGTTTCTTTCCAGGTTCGGTAAGGACACGTTTGATTATAGTCGTGTTTGCGTGCGTGTGCGTGTGCGTGCGTGTCAGTATGTTTTGTTTATGTTGGCAGGTGTTGGAAGTTGTTAGACAAGAATGACTGCCTTCGGAAGAGTGATTAACGGCGTTGTTTAATCTGGTGTCGTTGGTGTGTGATGTGAGGCGTTGTTCCCTCGGTGTACTTAGTTGTGCTTGCAGGGGGTTAAGCTCTGGCTCTTTGGTCCCGCCTCTCAACTGTCAATCAACTGGTGTACAGGTTCCTGAGCCTACTGGGCTCTATCATATCTACATTTGAAACTGTGTATGGAGTCAGCCTCCACCATAACACTACTTAATGCATTCCATCCGTTAACTACTCTGACACTGAAAAAAGTTCTTTCTAACGTCTCTGTAGCTCATTTGAGTACTCAGTCTCCACCTGTGTCCCCTTGTTCACCACTGTGTGTGTTTGTGTGTTTTTGTGTGTGTTTGTGTGTGTGTGTGTGTGTGTGTGTGTGTGTGTGTGTGTGTGTGTGTGTGTGTGTGTGTGTGTGTGTGTTTCTGTCTGTCTGTCTGTCTGTCTCTTGAAACGGGTGAATTCAGGCTCGTAGAGAGTCGAGAGGACTCATTAGGTTCAATTGGCGACAAGAATTTTTTGTTCGTAGCGTCGTCCATTCAGCTATCACTGGACCGTTCTTCAGTGGGCCAGTGAAGTTAACCTGGGCATCTCTCCACCTAGTAATACAGCTGTAGTCTGTTTGTCGGCCGCTGATCCCGTGTTCTCCATCTTGTAGACACTAAGACAATATTCTTTGATATTAGATATTTGGGAAGATTTTAGTATTGCTTTCGAATTGGGCAGCGAAGATCTCGCTTCTTGCAGGGCCGGGGTTCGATCCCTTGATGCTCCGATTGGTTAGGCACCGTTCATTCTCTTCGTTCACATATCCCAGCTCATTGTCCTCATATCCCAGTTCATATTCCTCATATCCCTGTTCCTTGTCGTCATATCCCAGTTCCTTGACCTCATATCCCAGTTCCTTGTCCTAATATCCCAGTTCCTTGTCCTCATATCCCAGTTCTTTGTCCTCATATCCCCTAAATATGCTAAATAGCCCCACTGGCCTTGTGCTCACCTAACAAGACACCTGTACAGACAACATAAGCTAACGAAGAGATTGGCAGCGTTGGCGGAGGACCCCAGCCTGTCTCACCTCATGCTGCCCTGTCCCATCCTGACCTCGTGGAAGAGGAGGAGGATGGGGAATAACGGGAGAACGAAGAATAGAAGGGAGGACATGGTAAGGGGAAGGGAGAGAAGAAGGGGTGGAAGGGAATGAGGATTGATGTTAAATGAGAGAGAGGGGGGGAGCTTGGAGAAGGAAGGGAGGGTGGGAAGGGAAGGGAAGGGAGGGTAGTGAGGTAAAGGGGGTAAGGGAGCTGGGAGAGATAAGGGGCCCTGTGGCACGGGGTCAGTGAATAGTGCCAGCCCTTCAACAGTAATGAATGTTTACCTCACATTGTTAACGGTACAGAAACTTACTGTGTGTGTGTATGTGTGTATGTGTGTGTGTGTGTGTGTGTGTGTGTGTGTGTGTGTGTGTGTGTGTGTGTGTGTGTGTGTGTGTGTACCTAGCAGCAGTGTATGTGTGTATGTATATGTACCTAGCAGGGTGTATGTGTGTATATGTACCTAGCAGGGTGTATGTGTGTATATGTACCTAGCAGGGTGTATGTGTGTATATGTACCTAGCACGGTGTATGTATATGTACCTAGCAGGGTGTATGTGTGTATATATATACCTAGCAGGGGTGTATGTGTGTATGTATATGTACCTAGCAGGGTGTATGTGTGTATGAATATGTACCTAGCAGGGTGTATGTGTATGTACCTAACAGGGTGTATGTGTGTATGTATATGTACCTAGCAGGGTGTATGTGTGTATGTATATGTACCTAGCAGGGTGTATGTGTGTATGAATATGTACCTAGCAGGGTGTATATGTGTATGTATATTTACCTAGCAGGGTGTATATGTGTGTATGTATATGTACCTAGCAGAGTATATGTATATGTATCTAGCAGAGTGTACCATGGACAGTTTAATTAGTAGACAAAAATGTGGAGAAGTTCTTCACGTTCAAAAGAACGTTCTTTGTAGACAAGAAATATTTTAGAAGCAAGGTAAGTTGAATGAGGGCCAGGTGGCGAGGGAGGCGATGTTTGGTAAGGGGAGGCAAAGGGTAAGGGGAAGCAGGGGGGGGGGGACTTAGGTCATGGGTAAGGTAAGAGTGAGGGGAAGGAAAGGGTAGGGGAGGGTACTTGGGAGACTGGGTGGTGTGTTTGTGTGTTTTTCTACCTAAATGTGCTTGTCTGAGAGAGAGAGAGAGAGAGAGAGAGAGAGAGAGAGAGAGAGAGAGAGAGAGAGAGAGAGAGAGAGAGAGAGAGAGTTGGTGTGGGTGTGGCTGTATTTACTATTTGAATTTAAAATTTGTGCTTCCAGAGTTGAGATGTTAGCTCTTGGACCCCGCCTTTATAACTATTGGTTGTCTAATGTACTGCTTCTCGACCTATATTTTTTTTCCTTCATCATATCTACAACATATGATTTTTTTTAATTCACACACACACACACACACACACACACACACACACACACACACACACACACACACACACACACACACACACACACACACACAGGGCCTCGTAGCCTGGTGGATAGCGCGCAGGACTCGTAATTCTGTGGCGCGGGTTCGATTCCCGCACGAGGCAGAAACAAATGGGCAAAGTTTCTTTCACCCTAAGTGCCCCTGTTACCTAGCAGTAAATAGGTACCTGGGAGTTAGTCAGCTGTCACGGGCTGCTTCCTGGGGTGTGTGTGGTGTGGGGAAAAAAAAAAAAAAAAAAGTAGTTGGTAAACAGTTGATTGACAGTTGAGAGGCGGGCCGAAAGAGCAAAGCTCAACCCCCGTAAAAACACAACTAGTAAACACATCTAGTAAACACACACACACACACACACACACACACACACACACACACACACACACACACACACACACACAGGTTGAGAGGCGGGACCAAAGAGTCAGAGCTCAACCCCCGCAAGCACAACTAGGTGAGTACACACACACATATACACACACACACAGCCTGGTAGCCTGGTGGATAGCGCGCAGGACTCGTAATTCTGTGGCCCGTGTTCGATTCCCGCACCAGGCAGAAACAAATAGGCAAAGTTTCTTTTACCCTGAATGCCCCTGTTACCTAGCAGTAAATAGGTACCTGGGAGTTAGTCAGCTGTCACGGGCTGCTTCTTGGTGTGTGTGTGTGTGTGTGTGTGTGTGTGTGTGTGTGTGTGTGTGTGTGTGTGTGTGTGTGTGTGTGTGTGTGTGTGTGTGTGGAAAAAAAAGTAGTTAGTAAACAGTTGATTGACAGTTGAGAGGCGGGCCGAAAGAGCAAAGCTCAACCCCCGCAAACACAACTAGGTGAATACACACACACACACATCCCGAGGAAGCAGCCCGTAGCAGCTGTCTCACTCCCAGGTACCTATTTACTGCTAAGTGAACAGGTGTATCAGGTGAAACAAACTCTGCCCATTTGTTTCTCCGTCGGCCGGGAATCGAACCCAGTCTCTTAGAAATACGACCCGCGAGCACTGTCCGCGATAACCTTTGTGAGTGTACAAGTGTTAGTGTGTGCGTTTGAGCATGTGAAAGAGAGTGTCTAGGCACTCCAGGTGCAGGCACTCCAGGTGTAGGTACTCCAGATGTAGGCACTCCAGGTGCAGGCACTCCAGGTGTAGGTACTCCAGATGTAGGCACTCAAGGTGCAGACACTCCAGGTGCAGGCACTCCAGGTTTAGGCACTCCAGGTGCAGACACTCCAGGTGTAGACACTCCAGGTGTAGGCACTCCAGGTGCAGACACTCCAGGTGCAGGCACTCCAAGTGTAGGCACTCAAGGTGCAGACACTCCAGGTGTAGGCACTCCAGGTGCAGACACTCCAGGTGTAGACACTCCAGGTGCAGACACTCCAGGTGTAGACACTCCAGGTGCAAACACTCCAGGTGCAGACACTCCAGGTGTAGGCACTCCAGGTGCAGGCACTCCAGGTGCAGGCACTCCAGGTGCAGGCACTCCAGGTGTAGGCACTCCAGGTGCAGGCACTCCAGGTGTAGGCACTCCAGGTGCAGGCACTCCAGGTGCAGGCACTCCAGGTGCAGGCACTCCAGGTGTAGACACCGCAGGTGCAGGCACTCCAGGTGTAGACACCGCAGGTGCAGGCACTCCAGGTGCAGGCACTCCAGGTGCAGACAGGAGTCCCCAACACACCAGACAGCACATAAACCCACTCACGCCAGGCCCAACGCTCCCCTCCAACATTTCCACCCCTCCCCACGCCCCCCCCCCACCCCCTCCCCCCACCCCCTCCCCCCCAGGGTTTTACTCCAACATTTTTGTATTTTGTCTAAAAAAAATTTCCTCACCTCCAGTGGGTCTGAAAAGTGGAAAAAAGTGCGTTTCAGTACAGACAAACGCAAAGAAAAACATTTAAATAATGTTCAGCGTGAATACTAATCATTAGGATATGAGCAATATTAGAGCCAATGGGGTTGTTGTTGTTTAAGATTCGCTACTGGGAACAAAGTGTTCCAAGTAGCACGGGCTATGGTGAGCCCGTAGTGGACTTACCTGGCACAGGAGCGGGGGCTGTAACTTGAATGGGGATGATCTCTGAGTGACCATTAGTAAATACTGCGGCTGGACATGGATTTCTCACCACATTTGCATTCATCTGATGCCTCTGTTCACCTCACAGGAAACAGGTAATAGGGAGTTAGGGAACTGTTACGGCTTGTAACCTGAGGAAGTTAGTTTAGCTCATTTATTATGCACCACAAACTCATCCTTTGGGAATAAGTGGAGAAAACACATATAGTGACACATAATGCGTTCAGACACTGAACCGCAAAATTCATTTAGCTAAATAAGGTTAGTCATGATAAACTATTTTTGTTTTTTATTTATCAGGGGGAAAGCGCCAAGCCATTACGACTATATAGCACTTGGAAGGGGTCAGGATAAGGATTTGGGATGGGACGGGGTGATGGAATGGTGCTCAACCACTTGAACAGTCGGGGATTGAACGCCGACCTGCATGAAGCGAGACCATCCAGCCCAAGTGGCTGGCAAAGGCTGACATAGTAAGCTAGTTACGTAGTTCAATGTACATCAACAATAGATTTGAGAATGAGTGCAAGTCTCTAAGCTAAGCAACTTACATTTATACTCTCCCTTAATATATAATTACTCCCAATGCAACTTACATACTCTCCCATATCAACCACTTGGGCTGGACGGTAGAGCGACGGTCTCGCTTCACGCAGGTCGACGTTCAATCCCCGACCGTCCACCAAGTTGAAATTGAAATTGAAATAAGTTTATTGAAGTAAAATACACACAAAGGGATGAGGTAGCTCAAGCTATTCTCACCCCATTAAACATTGTCCGCAGTGAGTAGGACGTCCACCAAGTGGTTGGGGCACCATTCATTTTCCCCCCGTCTCATCCCGAATCCTTATCCTGACTCCTTCCCAGTGCTATATAGTCGTAATGGCGTGACGCTGTATCCTTATAGTTCCCTTCCCTTCATGACAATATGAGTCATACTCTTCACTATACGCACTGTAGCCTCACCACACACACACACACACCAGTGGCATGTATGCTCACCATCAGTGATCATCACTATCAATGGTCCACCAGCACTTACCACTTTCTGCACTGTATGTTTCACTATACAGGATGTCCACAAATTATACTCTCCATTATAATTCATTAAGGTATATAATTTGGTTGGATAATTTATAGCCCGGCTATTACATCACAGGTTAATTACCTAGTCTCACTATATTCCACATTCACTATGTTCTTATTCCCTCTGTTTATTGCTCTTATGAACTTCAGTGTTCCGACATAACCATCATTAAACACTAATTGTATTATTAGGCATTGATTACACACGAATAATTTCCTAAGTACTCTACAATCATTAACTACCAAACGACTACAGATACAAGCACCAGGACTGTATCAACACCCATATGTAAAATGATCATTAATGTGTACAATACAAATATACATATACATACCCTAATATATATACATTTATACAGAACATTATCCCTAACAAATTGCATGCAAGGTGGAATTCAATATGCTAATTTAATTTGTGCTGCGTAGGCAGAATAGAAGAGATTCTTTGGAGATGTCTTGGAACAGGGGAGCTTTGGTGTCATCTACCTGTGTTATAATCTAAAGAGTCTTATTATGCAAGGTAATAATGTTCATTGTTTTAAGACAATTGTTTGAAATAAGTTATATTGTGTTGTTAGTTGTGGTGGTGGTGATTGTGGTGCTAATGCCAGTTGTCTCTCTACTGGGGAGCAAACAGTTAGCCATCATGATAAGACCTTCACTAAACTCTACACACACACACACACACACACACAAGGATATGATAGAACGCAGTAGTCTCAGGAACCTGTATATCATTTGATTGACAGTTGAGAGGCGGGCCCAAAGAGCCACAGCTCAACCCCCGCAAGCCCAACTAGATGAATACACCGCCATACAGACCTTCATACACCCTACACCTGATACATTCACTCCTTGATGTCCTGCAAGAGAAAAAATTATTATCAGATAATACACAGATAGTGTAGCCTGGAGGGTGTGGTGTAGCCTGGAGGGTGTGGTGTAGCCTGGAGGGTGTGGTGTAGCCTGGAGGGTGTGGTGTAGCCTGGAGGGGTGTGGTGTAGCCTGGAGGGTGTGGTGTAGCCTGGAGAGTGTGGTGTAGCCTGGAGGGTGTGGTGTAGCCTGGAGGGTGTGGTGTAGCCTGGAGGGTGTGGTGTAGCCTGGAGGGTGTGGTGTAGCCTGGAGGGTGTGGTGTAGCCTGGAGGGTGTGGTGTAGCCTGAAGGGTGTGGTATAGCCTGGAGGGTGTGGTATAGCCTGGAGGGTGTGGTGTAGCCTGAAGGGTGTGGTATAGCCTGGAGGGTGTGGTATAGCCTGGAGGGTGTGGTGTAGCCTGGAGGGTGTGGTGTAGCCTGGAGGGTGTGGTGTAGCCTGGAGGGTGTGGTGTAGCCTGGAGGGTGTGGTGTAGCCTGGAGGGTGTGGTGTAGCCTGAAGGGTGTAGTGTAGCCTGAAGGGTGTGGTGTAGCCTGAAGGGTGTGGTGTAGCCTGGAGGGTGTGGTGTAGCCTGAAGGGTGTGGTATAGCCTGGAGGGTGTGGTGTAGCCTGGAGGGTGTGGTGTAGCCTGGAGGGTGTGGTGTAGCCTGGAGGGTGTGGTGTAGCCTGGAGAGTGTGGTGTAGCCTGGAGGGTGTGGTGTAGCCTGGAGGGTGTGGTGTAGCCTGAAGGGTGTGGTATAGCCTGGAGGGTGTGGTGTAGCCTGGAGGGTGTGGTGTAGCCTGGAGGGTGTGGTGTAGCCTGGAGGGTGTGGTGTAGCCTGGAGGGTGTGGTGTAGCCTGGAGAGTGTGGTGTAGCCTGGAGGGTGTGGTGTAGCCTGAAGGGTGTGGTATAGCCTGGAGGGTGTGGTGTAGCCTGGAGGGTGTGGTGTAGCCTGGAGGGTGTGGTGTAGCCTGGAGGGTGTGGTGTAGCCTGAAGGGTGTGGTGTAGCCTGGAGGGTGTGGTGTAGCCTGGAGGGTGTGGTGTAGCCTGAAGAGTGTAGTGTAGCCTAGAGGGTGTGGTGTAGCCTGGAGGGTGTGGTGTAGCCTGGAGGGTGTGGTGTAGCCTGGAGGGTGTGGTGTAGCCTGGAGGGTGTGGTGTAGCCTGGAGGGTGTGGTGTAGCCTGGAGGGTGTGGTGTAGCCTGGAGAGTGTGGTGTAGCCTGGAGGGTGTGGTGTAGCCTGGAGGGTGTGGTGTAGCCTGAAGGGTGTGGTATAGCCTGGAGGGTGTGGTATAGCCTGGAGGGTGTGGTGTAGCCTGGAGGGTGTGGTGTAGCCTGAAGGGTGTGGTATAGCCTGGAGGGTGTGGTATAGCCTGGAGGGTGTGGTGTAGCCTGGAGGGTGTGGTGTAGCCTGAAGGGTGTAGTGTAGCCTGAAGGGTGTGGTGTAGCCTGAAGAGTGTAGTGTAGCCTAGAGGGTGTGATGTAGCTTGGAGGGTGTGGTGTAGCCTGGAGGGTGTGGTGTAGCCTGGAGGGTGTGGTGTAGCCTGGAGGGTGTGGTGTAGCCTGGAGGGGTGTGGTGTAGCCTGGAGGGTGTGGTGTAGCCTGGAGGGTGTGGTGTAGCCTGAAGGGTGTGGTATAGCCTGGAGGGTGTGGTGTAGCCTGGAGGGTGTGGTGTAGCCTGGAGGGTGTGGTGTAGCCTGGAGGGTGTGGTGTAGCCTGGAGGCACACTCACACTCCTCATTACCACCCTGAGCCTCACAACACCTGCAGTGAAGCTCCATGTTGGGCTCTGATGCTTCCCTAAGCGAGCTCAACCTTAAAGGAAACCACATTTTCCCTTTTTCTGCACTCTGTGCTTTATTTTTTTCGTATCCATTCTCCCTCCTTCCGCAGCCCAATGCCTGTTCCAGGTACGGGCTAGGGGGAGCTTAGGCAAGAGAGAGAGGATAGGGTGGAGGTTAGAAAGGAAAGAGAATAGGTGTGGAGGTTAGTATTTATATCCCATCGGGAATGACGCCATTAGAAAGCGATACGCAATTTCTATTCTCGCCTCTCCCATGGTTCCAATACCTTAGCTGTTTGAGGCCCACACAGGGTAATGGTTCCATTTGCGAGATGGCTGTTCCAAGCCACAAATGGTTCCACAGGCGCTGGCAGTGTGGTGAATGGTTCTCTGGTGTTTCCCCGCTTCTTTAGTCGTTAAAAAAAGAGTCGCCTTTGAATATTTTTGGCGGTGCAAGTTGGCGCTGTTAGCCAGACTAATGTTGAATTTTTTCCCGGGTAAATGTTTGCAAGATATTCTTAATTGTTTGGTCTCGATGGAGACTTTTGGTTGGTTATTGTTTGGAAGTTTAAGAGTGGAGGAAGTACAGTACTAAGTTCATAGTGTCCTTAAATCTACTGTGTTCGGTTGATGTCATTTTCGAACATGTTATTTCGCACTTAGAAAAGTTTAGGGTGAGGCCAAAATTTGCATCTTGCTCTTGGATTATTTAGTTGTCCTCTAGGAGGGACTCTTGGGAACCAGTTAGGGTTATCTTGAGATGATTTCGGGGCTTAGCGTCCCCGCGGCCCGGTCCTCGACCAGGCCTCCTTGTTGCAGGACTGGTCAACCAGGCTGTTGGATACATACACTCTCACATTATCTTTTATGCAGGCGATGAGTCACAATAACGTGGCTAAAGTATGTTGACCAGACCACACACTAGAGGGTGAAGT